TGTCAAGTCCCCAGTAGAGAGTCCATGCCATATTTTCTTCGACGCTCCCAATGTCAACGTCCACAATGCTCCCAGCGTGCGATTGCGCCCCGCAGTAGGTATCAAGCTATTGCAGGACTCTCTAAGCGCCATGAATGATTTTAGGTTGCGTAAGCGATCCAGGCCGAGACAGCAGCGCGCATTGCGTCTTTATTTGTCATTCCGCAATTCGGTCAACGCTACAGTGTAGGGTGCTGCGGCGTAGACTTGCCGTGCCTGCTCGGGTGATGGAACGTCGGTATCTATATATATACACACCCACACGTGCTCACCCGCTGATGTCTCGAAGGATACGCCGGTCTGCGCTGTCAGCATCTTTCTCTGTGTGCGTCCCAAACGGATATGTGTGTTCCAAACAGAGATATGCGCACGTATGGAGGACCTGACTTGTTACACAAAAAGTCTGGCTCTTCTCGCAGCTTCGCGTAGCCAAGCTTACTCTTCGGTCTACGAATTCTACGTACAGGTCTTGTAGCTGTGCGTATAGTTCTAGCTAGACCACCGGCAACGAAGGGAGGCGAGAAGGTGCTAGCCCCTCCCCTCTACCTCGCCTTTTAGCTATTCATTTTCGCCTTTCTTGAGTATGGCTAGCCTGTGTATCCGATGTTTGGTTGGTGTAATAATGATGAAGATGGTCTTTGAATAATTAGCATCTGCCCACTACGGGGGACTATACGTTATAATACAGCCTAATCAACTTTTCTACTTGGTGCCCACGAAGATTGAACATAAGTATGCTACAAATGTGAGCCGCGAGCTACGAATGAAAGAAAACGCAAGATTATACATATCCGGCGTGACATGCCGGCAATTAACTTTTATCGAATTCCATGCGGAAACCGCATTCTGAAGAAATTTTGTTGCGTGTCCATTACAAAGCCAATGTACGACCTGAAACACTGAAGGACTGTGCTGCGAAATGCCCTCCGCTTCGATGATGCTCGCTCCGGTCATGATGCAGCCTCCGGGCCGAAGTCATGAACGCCTGTTCACTGTGGCTGCTGCAATGCCTGGTTTGGTTTATCCGGTTGATCCGAGTCTGGCTGCTCTTTGTACCGGCCAAATAGCTCGGACACTGCGTTGATCGCATTTGCCGCAGCTGTCACACTCTCCGAACCCTCTCCCACGCCACACAGATCCTTGCACGCGTTGTAATCATTCTCCCCATTTGACTGGACGTCCATAACCTGCAGGGAGACGCCAGGAGCACCTTCGCACGTCATAAAGTGATTGAATACGTCTTTATAGGCGACTAAGCCTTTGCACTTAACGCACGTCTCCAGGTAGAAGGCGCAGTACCGTTCCAAGTGGTCGTTCAGGTCTTTCAAGTATCCCGTGTAGTCGCAGCCCCAGTTAGGGCAGCGCACGCGTTCGAAAAGCACGTTGTTCGTCCAAGTGATAGTCTTGGTGACGGACAGCGTCTGTTTGTCGATGAGGCAGATTGAATATCCCGACGCAGAACGGCCGAACGCCAACTCTTTGCACCGGGGACAGATGACGTGCAGGCACGGCAGGAGGCACATCTTGTCATTCACCAGGCAACACAAGCTGCAGAAGCGCGTTTCCTGGAGCTGGTCGAGAAACTCGAGAATCTGGTAATCCGTGTGCAAGCCGAAACCGGCAACGCGGTACTCGTAATATAGCCGCAGACCTGTAGCGACGTCGGGCGTCTCTCGCGGTGGTACGGCGTCGCCGGCGTGCTGCCAGTCGTCGCCCGAGCCGCCGCCCGCAGTAGGCACATATCGCTGCCCGCCGGAACCGTACATATCGGTGACAGAACAAGTAGAGCTGAAAGTTCGGATCAATGCAGATGCGTCGTTATGGCTGCTGTGGCCTCGAGCGCAAATGGCCTCACGCTTTCTTCGAATGATGATGATGATGATGGTTGTCGTGTAGCCGCTAAGCGGCTCCGGCGAAGTAGCAGAAGAGACGCACGACGGGCGGCCGACACGGCCGGCGGAGACGCCAACTAGCACGGCGGGGTGGGCGCGGAGCGCTGAAGAGGAAAAACTATAGCCGAGGGTCGGTTGGATCACACAGACTGTTTTAGGGGCGAAGCTCCTTAAGGCGTGGGCTGTGCGTCCCCTGTACGTAGCCTCCTCTCGTTTAGTTTTTGCAGTGTTCGCTAGATGACGGTGCCGTATCTTGTATGTAGCCACCTCTCGTTTAGTCCTTGCAGTGTTCACTAGATGGCGGTACTTGTAGCTGATGATGAAAAGATGCAAGATGTTATAAACTGGACGGCAGTACTTGAAGTTGATGACGAAAGATGCGAGAAGTTATAAAATCGGAAGGATATCACATATGGTGCGTGTCATTTGTGGAAGGCAATCGTTTCATTTAGTGCGGCGACGTACGCTAGGGGGAGCGTTGTAATGAAATGGAGTGGGCAAAATGTACGGAGTATTCATGGTTTACGAGGTTTACCTTCAGAGCTTCGCCCACTCATCATCATTCACTTCGTGGATATGGCGGCACTTTTTTGTTGTTATTAATACTTCAAAGTACTAATGGAGGTAACATATGTAATTATAATGAAGCATTATTACGAGTAGTCCTAATTTTAGCTTCAGAGTTAACGAGTTGTAAGATTCACTTGAAAAATAATAGGAAGACGACAATAATGTTGATGATGGTGATCATAAGAAATTATAATGGTGGGGATGATGAGAGGGCTCCGGAAATTTTGACCACATGGTGTTTTTTAACATGTACCCAAATATGACCACACAGGCCGACAGCATTTTCGCTTTCACCGAAAATGCAGCCGCCACAGCGGGGATTTGATCCCATGACCTACGGGTCAGCAGCCGAGTACCTTAGCCACTAGACTACCACGGCAAGGCAGAAGGTAGAAATGGCGATGGACATCAAGAATATGGCGACCTATACGAAGATCAGGAACATTATGATGAAAATAAATAAAAACAAGATGATAATGGTATAGTTATCATCCATAGGCTACAACAAGTTTTCTTGGCCAATGCACCAAAGTGGATATCAGGCCACAAACACAGATACAAAATTGGTATGAGTATTAAGAGAAAGTCCTGCTGCGGTAGTCTAGTGGCTAAGGTACTCGGTGGCTGACCCGCAGGTCATGGGTCGAATCGCGGCTGTGGCGCTGCATTTCCGATGGAGGCGGAAACGTTGTAGGCCCGTGTGCTCAGATTTTGGTGCACGTTAAAGAACCCCGGGTGGTCAAATTTCCGGAGCCCTCCACTACGGCGTCTCTCATAATCTTAAGGTGATTTTGAGATGTTAAACTCCACATACCAATCAATCAATATCACGAGCAAAATAATAATGTGGAGGAAGAAAATGATGAGAAAACGGAGAAAATGAGGTAAATTCATACGAAACGTCGAAAATGACAAGATGACGATAGCCGTGATGATCAGAATGTGGATAAAGAAGATGATGATGACGATGTCTATGAAGGAGAATAATAAGAAGGGTCAAGAGGAAGAGGGTGTATAATATTATTATATTACTATAATTATGATGAATGATGATGATGTGGAGGACGAGTCCATTTGGTAAAGACTAAGCGCAGTAGTGACATGCAGAGAGCCATTAAGGGCAGCGCGGGCACTCGCATAGCCGAGATTACCAGAACAGGCGTTAGTGTTGAGTATCCCGGCTGTATGAGTGTTTGTTTTAGGGTTAATGTTTCCGAAAAGCTATGCCACCTCTTACTATGAACGAAGTTTTGTTGAGGGTAAGTGATAAAAATTAAGTTGACTAAGCGTAAAGATGAAGAAGAGAAGGGTAATTGAAAAAAAAAAACGTGTGTACAATAATAATGTTCTTTGTTTTTTTCAAAGGAACATTATGATTGTTCTGGTCAAATTTCTCTCTTCTTTCAGCAAGCGTTGTACAAAAAATATCTATTATAAGGTGCAGTGTGGACAGTCCCCCTTGTGGGTATGAGCCAAGGTCTTCTAGGCGACAAGGCAAGACAAGACGTGTGTGCCGAGTAGATAATAAACTACGACCACATTGAACACGACATGCGCAGTACAGTGATACCGACGGCATCAAGCGTTCACAGTTGTCCTTTTACGCGTTTTTTTTATTATTTCGAGTAATGTCCTTGTGGTCGTGAGTACAACAATGAAAAAAGAAGTCTTGGTTCAAGAAAGACTAGAGTTGGACGCCCAAGTTTTTTAGACAGTTCCAAGACTACACTACAAACTGTTTGTAAAACATATATTGAAAAGGAAAACGAGGAATGAGTGTCACCGAAACGAAGCTATTGGACACTTTGCTATGATACGCAGAGAAAATGAAGACAAGAAAACAGGGGAAAAAAGAGAGAAGAAAGACGGCATGACAAGTTTGTGGCCGCAGTGACATTGTGGAAGCCGGTAAGACAAAACTCGCCAGTAAGTATACACCGCAGACCCCGAAGGGAGAGGACGGGAAGTGGACACGAAGCGGTCCGTGATTGATGATCGTGCCCAGCGGTACAGCATGTATAGGCGACGTGGCTCTACATCGTCTATAACCGCGCGACTTGTCTTCCAACGTACTTGTGGGTTTATAAGAGGGTGCAGCAGCGTGTCGTTTTTCACCCTCGCAGACTACGCTTCTGCGGGACCGTTTGCACGAATCTGTGCACCCAAGCTCCCACACTGACCCCGTTTTTGTGACACGTTGTATACTATACTCACACCACGGAAAAGACTCGCCGCCTCTAACCGCAGTCGCTTTTACGCCTGAAGCTTCCTCTACAGTTGGCACACGTCAGAAGACGAGAAGAACTTAGTGGAGGAACTTACCAAGGATGAAGTTACCAAAGCTATCCTATTCATAGGGGAACATCTTCGACATATGTCTGTTTGGCTGGGTGAACTTTCATACTAATAACATAAACTCTCCAGACAAGTTACAGTCCAAAGACAAAAGTTAAGGACTGTGCACTGACCCGACGTTTCGGAAATGATTCGGTCCCTTCTTCATGGGTGACTGCTCGTCCGGCTCTGAAGCTCGCGATTTTTCTTGGTGGTGTCGCCCTCTTCATCGTCCTTCTCTCCACCGTTGTTGTTGCTGCGATGTTTTCCCAACTGATTTTCTCATTAAGTTATCCCTTACTCATTTCGTCGCGGCGCCGAGATTCTTTTGTTGTGTTTTTCTCAATGGACAAATTGCGGTAAACTTAAAGGATCCCTCACCAGATTACATAATGACTTTCGGTTAGACACTAGAAGGTGTAGCGCCCCCAATAAGTAGCACTATGCCACAAGACGTTTTCTAATGTGTTCATTAGCAGTTGAGAAAAACCATGTTTTGAAGCGGCGCGAAACGATGACACGAGAAGGAGAGCTTGAAACCTCTTTGTTAATGCTTGTCGGTGGGCTAGTTGGTTCGATAACACTGTAACGCAGAAACAGCGCAAGAAGACAAAGATAGTAGAGGGCACACACACACACGCCTGCAGCTCGCCGCGTGTAGACTTCTCATATGAAATCCTCTCCCTGCGTCATGCGGTTTCCTAAAATTATCTAGAGGGAATCGTGGCGCTGCGATCGCTCATCCGCCATGGGAATGACGGGAAGAAGTACGCGGATTTTCATAGCGTTCGTGCTTCCGGGCTTCCGACGCAGTTGCACTTTTATTTATTGTTGTTTCGGTATCGTTTAGAATGAAACAGTGGACAGTTGTGAACTTCGTGAGCCGATTTGAATTGGTGAGCCTGAAAAGTCGGCGTAATGAAGCATAACTGCTGAACCTTTGCTCAAGTTCGTCTTGCGGCAAAGTAGATTCAGGCCCGTGGATCCAAACGGAGCCGACAGAACGAAGGTTACAGAAATTCCTGTACTATATATACATGCACACTTGAGCGTGGGAGCAGCGTATACAGAAGTTGTATAAATATAATTAATAATTAGTAATTATTACTAACACATGTTTAATCAATTAGTCTGCTTATTATTAAACGATTGTTACCTATATTTTTATTTAACAAATTAATAACTCTTGAAAGTTTAAGTAATGACTCATGGGTCTTTCATGCATACACATAAGATGACTCGATGACGAAAGCCATCTTCTCATTTTTCTTAGTCGACGTATCGACCCTCGGAAAACTCTCCACAATAGGTTGGTTTCGCACGGCCACCGAGATCGGAGTAACCTCACCTACTATTCCATTGGCTCTGTGATCGGACCTCTTTTGACCAAGCTATGATGTCATATCCTAGCTGAGATGTACTATGACGTCGCCTCCGCGTCATAATGACGTAAAATTAGCCATGATGATAGTTATAGCGCAAGAACAAAACGACGACACAGAGGCAAGAAGGACACGATGGACAAGAGCGCGTCATTCTTGTCTCTGTGTCGTTATTTTGTTCTCGCGCTATAACTATCGCCGTGCCATACCAACTAGCCCAGGCTGCCACACTTCTAAGTGAAATTGGGGTTACCTCTGACGTTATGGTGACGCCATGCCATCATTTTTTGCCCCACTCGCCCGCGACGCCACGAGATGCTGATGGCGCCGATGTGGGACGCGAAATGTTAAATATCGCGTTTCATGAGGCATTTAGGGGCTCCGCTTAATGAATGAATGAATGAATGAATGAATGAATACGAATGAATAAATAAAGGAATAAATAAATAAATAAGTTTGGGTTCGGACAAACCCTCGATCATCTGCTCGGGACCTGTCCGGAACTTCACAAGGCTAACACCTACCCAAAAGGAGGCCTATACCTCCCCCCCCCCCTCCTGTCACCAACCAGCCTAATCAAGTATTTTGTTACAGTTTATTTCTAGTTCATCGGGCTCTTCTCTGCGCTTTCCTGATTTCCTACAGTCATCTGTTTTGTTAGTCATCTGTTTTGATATGGAAGTTTCGGTATCGGACGCCATGGCGACTACCCAGACTAGTGCGTGATGTTAGAGGACTGGCGTCAAGCTAGTGTCGGTATACGGCGATACGTTCTCCATGGGAGAATTTACTTTAATGTCAAAATAAATACCTTATCTGCATTTTCTGGGCTCCGCACTTGCTCGAAGACGTATCTGTATGCAAGAGAATAATATCGTAAACTCCCCTGAACAAAAACGGTGTCAGTACCTATTTAATGACTTCCCTTATATGTAAGCTTAGTTTATTTTATTGTCTATGCATCAGTTCTCTTAATGCAACTTGATTCAAAGGTGAAATCTGAAAGAATGTTGATAGTTAAATGGATAGGTGCTTATCCCTTCAACCCGTGAGAGAGCTAGGCTTGCGGCACGTCTCTTGATATGACGTCATGGCAACGTTCGTGTGACGTCACAAATTTTTGGTGACCTGAGAGACGATTATGACGCCGCAAGCTGTCTTCATCACACTGATGATGATCTTTATATCACATTACCCTTATGACACCCACGACCACTTTTCGCGAATGATAAAGAATACAATGATTACGCTTTCACAAAATTCACAGCCAAAAATAAATGCCAGTGCCTCGTAGCTTTATGCTTAAAAAAAGACACCCAGCACCCGCTAACGCTCCACGAAGTGAAGTGATTGAATGTAAATAAGTAGCATTTTAAAGCAACTAAGAAGTAGTAATTCAGTTGAATGCAATTTAGAGTGATGTATTTCGGAGTAAAATCGAGGAACTCAGGGGTGATTCAGAATCAAAACAACGCCGAATCAACACTGACATTATCAGAGCTGTGACAAAATGGCTCGTGCTGTGAAGGAACGTCGGTGTCACGTGGACATTTGTTATCGCGAAAGGGCCAATCCATATTAGATTGGATCTTGATCAGGTGTTACTACAGGTGTCACTCATTCGTAATCGGGCCTGATCTTAGTGCATGATCGCGATTTGCTGATCAGGCTGTACCGAGTAGCGGTGACCGACTTGACATCGCGTTGAAGTCGGATCCGGATCGGTTCTGATCGTGACAATAAAGAAGTTAAGCGATCTGACCAGCTAAAATATCTCGGCATTACAATTGCTTCTAATCTGACATGGAACAAGCGTATTGAAAGTATTTGTAGTCTCAGCTGAACGTAAGGTGGGTGTTCTGCGGCGAAAGGTAAGTGATGCTCTGTCTGAGACGAGGCTGATGACTTACAAAACGCCCAACCCTAGAATGTTTCGGCACTATATGGGATCCACACAGTCAAAAGCTTGTTGATGAGCTAGAACGAATCCACTTAAACACAGTCAGGTTTATTTATTCGTACAACCAGAGGATCCAACCATCGACCACGTTACTTCGTGGAGCTAACTTTGAGAAGCTGTCTACGCGCAGACATGTCGTACGCTTGAAGTTTCTATATAAATCTATAACAAAAATATAAACACATACACAACTTTTCACTGGCACCTTCCAGCCCGAGTGTCAACGCGTATCAATCATGCGTGTGCCATTTTACCCTATACCACGAGAATTGATGTGTTCAAGTTTTACTTTCTGCCCCCAATTATTAACAGGAACAGACTCGATGCCAGTGTATTGTGAGTCAGCTGAAGTTTTTCAGTGTCGTTTGGCATTGATTTGCCCATAATGTTGTTTCTTATTGTATGTTGTGTTTTCCCACCCCTGTTAGAGCCCGCGAGTGGTTACAGTATTGTAAATAAAATAAGCAGAATACCGTGTAGCACCGGTATAAGTCGTGTCAGCACGCAAATAAAGAAATAGTGATTTTTTTTTTCGCCTGAAATATTGGGAAAATGCGGGAGACAAGCTGTTGCGTCGAAAACCACCAGGGCGAGGGCAAGATGGGTAATACCTCACTTGGTATGGAGAGCGCGATGTCGAAGCTCAGCCCGTCGCCCATTTAAAGCAGCGGGTTGCGGCGGCTGGGGCCGAGTGACGTACTCGTCCCGCGCCTGCGTCTATGGGGATGAGCGTCATACCAATTCCGAGAAAGTTTCTCGATCGCGCCACTCGCCTTTATGCGTGCCGCGAGGTTCGAGCCCCAATGGAGCGGCTGGCCGGATTTTGGCGCAATGGGTGGTCCCCAACTTCGATGAAAGTTGCTTCTCCGTGAACAAGTCTTTTGGATTAACCACTACTTTGAGGCGGAAGTCGCAAGGGAGCAACAACGACGATCAATCAATCAATCAATCAATCAATCAATCAATCAGAATTTATTTTCAGCCTAAAGGACACTCAATGAAGCTTTGAGGATGCCGACGAAAAAGCAGCAGATCAGGCTTCACAGGGCCCCTATCCCCCGGCTACGCAAACATGGCCTACAATGTACAGACAGGCGAAATGGGCACATGGAAGTTCTATTCATTGGAACATCATAAATAAGCTAATGAAATGCGAAAGAGGTGGTAAATACACAGGTCTGTAAACATCGGCAATTGTGGCACCTAATAGTACACCTTCTTTGGCGACAGTATTTCATGTCAAACTTCGCCGCAGCTTTATTTCGGGGGTTTTCTATTTATTATTTTAGTTGAAACGTGAGCGCCTTAAATACATAATCAAATGTGACTATTGAGAACCAGCGGCGTCTGTATTAACACTTGCAATAGAAAATAAAAATCATCCTCACATAACGACGTCATATAGCGACGTAACGGATCACCGAAAATAGTGACGTTTTCATCACATCGTCGCTCGGTCAACACTGTGCGTTAACTGAGTGATGATTGATAAAGCAGATTGATATGTGGGGTTTAACGTCCTAAAACCACCATATGACCCCCTGGGGTTCTTCAACGTGCACCCAAATCTGAGCACAAGGGTCTACGGTATTTTCGCCTCCATCGACAATGCAGCCGCCGCAGGCGTTGTGTATTAACAGCGGTGGTGTAAAATCCGTTGAGTTGCAGCAATATTTCAGGGGATGCGGGATGTTATGCTTTCTTATAGCATAATTCAAAATACTGTGAAAAAGGGGTGTCACACGTTAAGCTACAAGCTCGTGCAAAGTCTAAAAAACACCAGGCCTACGCGGAAAGGACCGCACAGTGTTATGCCAGCGAGTCCTCGTCAAACGTCCGTGCCTCTGAAACAGGCAATCTGGGTCAAGGCCAGCCCGCAGCCCGCCGGGCGCGAACAACTCCACGGCGTGAACA